TTCAAGGACAAGTGTTGAGTTCTAGGAAAGGAGAGTCTTGATTTAGATTTGGGGATGCAGGGAAGGCCTGCTAGAGGCACTGACACTTAAGCTGAGTAAGAGTCATCAGACTGAGAGTGGACGGGAAGAGCTTTGTAGGCAGAAGGAACAGCATTTGCAAAGGCCCTGAGCCAGGGAAGAGTCCAGAGTATTTATGGGAAAGTATCATGAACTTTTAGCAATGGGTACTTTTATCTAAGTCCCAGGGGCTACTACTGGAGAACGGGGGAAAAATGAAAGTATAAGGAAAGTGTCTGATTGGCATTTCTGTGCTTTCTTTAATCACAAACCTTCAGTGCCAGCATTTCTAGTGCCAACACTTTTCATGATCCAGCTAGGGGGCTGGGGGACAACAGCTAATTCAGTTCCCTGGCCTAATATGGGGCACACCCTGAAAAGTGAGACTTTCTAAGCACATTTTTTTTTTTATTTCCTGAAAGCTTGATATTCACGTATCTGGCATATATAAGTAGAGCCTTCGCAGCAAAGATTTCTGTATTGTTTATTTCAGTAGCAAAGATAAATTTAGAATGGTGGAGAAACAAATGGATCAATGAATAAACACTCATTTAATTAACAAACATAAATCAAGCATCTATGTAAATGGCCTCTCTGTTTTCACTTGCCCTTTATAATTCATTCTCTACATGTACAGCAACCAGAGTGACTTCTTTTTTTTATTTTTTATTTTATTTTATTTTTTCAGAGTGACTTCTTAAAAAACAAATCAGGTAATGTCATTACAGAAGGCTTAAAACCTTCCGATGGTTTCGTGCTCGCTTCGGCAGCACATATACTAAAACCTTCTGATGGTTTCCTATTGCACTTGGAATAATATCCATACTTCTCATGTGGCCTTCAAGGTCCTTCATGATCTGGCCTCTGCCTCCTACTTTGACTACTTCTCCCCTTATTCATTTTGCTTTAGTCACACTGGCTTTCCTTCAGCTCTAAAACATGCTATCATTTCTTCCAAGTTTTGCATGAGAGGCCTCCTCTACTTCGAGTATTGTTTCCCCAGGCCCTTCCTGCTCAGCTGCCTCAGAGAAATCTCATCTTTATCACCCTTGTTCTCCCTCACTGCCTTGTTCTCCCTCACTGCCTTTACCCTATTTTATTTAGGAGGTTAGATAAGGTTTCCTAAGGTGATGGCACTTAGCCTTTGTCTTATAGAATGTATAAGAGTTTACTAGGGAGAGGGGCGCCTGGGTGGCTTAGTCGGTTAAGCATCCGACTTTCGCTTGGGTCATGATCTCGCGGTTCGTGGGTTCGAGCCCCGCGTCGGGCTCTGTGCTGACTGCCAGCTCAGAGCCTGGAGCCTGTTTCAGTCTGTGACTCCCTCTCTCTCTGACCCTCCCCTGCTCACGCTGTCTCTCTCTCTCTCCTAGAAATAAATAAAAAACATTAAAAAAAAAAAAAGAGTTTACTAGGGAGAAAATGTGGGAGAGGTACATTCTAGGCAGAAGGAAGAGCTTATACCAAAGCAAGGGAGTGGGAAAGAGCCAGTATGCTTGGGAAGAGTGAGTAGGAAAGTATAGCTGGAGTTATTAAGTATTTAGGGAAGAGTAAATGGCAAGGTGGCTGGAAAAGTAGTTTGGGACCAGACTGTGAAGGGATATAGATTGTATGCATGTTTAGGAATTTGCTCCATCCTGGTAATGGTGAGTCAGCAACATTTATGTATGTATGTATGTTTTGTTTTGCTTATTTTTAAGAGAAAGAGAGTGTGTGCACATGTGCAAGTGGGAAAGGGGCAGAGAGAGAGAGGGGGACAGAGAATCCAAAGTGGGCTCTGCACTCACAGCAGAGAGCCTGATACAGGGGCTCAAACTCATGAAAACTGAACTGTGAGAGTCATGACCTGAGCTGAATTTGGACATTTAACTGACTGAGCCACCCAGGCACCCCAGAAACGCTTTTAAAGTATTGAAGTAACATGGCCAGATTTGAGTTTTAGTTAGAACAGTAAACTCTTGTAACAATCTAGGGATGGCTTGGGGGAAAAATAAATGCAGATTGTAGCTTTTTGTCCTAAGATTCTGAAGTTTGGGAACTTCTAATTCATATCTTGTTTATTTAATTATTCCTAGTATATTCTCTATTGTCCTCCTGAATGAATCCTCTTAGCTTGTCCACATGCAGCATCATCCATATGCCTTTTGTTCATTGTTGTTGTTTTTTCTGGGCATTTCTTAACATTTAGTGATCTCTCACACAAAATATTTAGGTATATGAAGGATATACCAATGCTCTGTTTAATTTTTTTAAATTTAATGTGTATTTATTTTTGAGAGACAGAGCACAAGAAGGGGATGGGCACAGAGACAGAGAGGGAGACACAGAATCCAAAGCAGACTCCAGGCTCTGTCAGCACAGAGACTGACACGGGGCTCGAACTCACGAACTGTGAGATCATGATCTGAGCCAAAGTCGGATGCTTAATAGACTGAGCCACTCATGTACCCCTGTTTGATTTTTTTAAAGTTTACTTATTTCTTTAGAGAGAAATAGAGCTGTCGGGGGAGGGTCAGAGAGGAAGGGAGGAAGAGAGAATCCTAAACAGGCATTGTACTGTTAGCATGGAGCCTGACACAGGGCTCGAACTCACAAACTGAGATCATGACCTTAGCTGAAATCAAGAGTCAGTCACTTAAATGACTGACCTACCCATGTGCCCGTTTGATTTTTTTAAATTTTACTTATTTCTTTTGAGAGAAAGAGAGCTGTTGGGGGAGGGTCAGAGAGAAAGGGAGGAAGAGAGAATCCTAAACAGGCATTGTACTGTTCGCATGGAGCCTGACGTGGGGCTCGAACTCACAAACTGTGAGATCATGACCTTAGCTGAAATCAGGAGTCAGTCACTTAAATGACTGACCTACCCAAGTGCCCCTGTTTGATTTTTAAAAAGTTTATTTATTTAAGTAATCTCTGTGCCCAACATGCGGTTCAAACTCACGACCCTGAGATCACTGCATTCTTCTAACTGCGCCAGCCAGGTGCCTCTCTAATTGATTTTTAATGCCCTTCTCAATGATGCCTTGCATTTTGCTGGCCTTTTTGTTTAATGAATTTGTTTCATGAATTGGTTCCTATGAGGAAACCATAAATCCTATGGATTGGATAGCTTTCATTTTCTAGGCTTTTAATCTAGAGGGGAAAAATCTGTTTAACACGTATTTGTTCTGTCAGGCAGTATGCATATTCTAGAAATTTAAAAATGAATGAAACTGTCTCCTGCCTTCAAGGAACTCACAATCTAGTAGGAGAGTTCAAAGAATGTTTTTAATGACATAAATGCTTATCAAGGTGCATACTTGAGGACAGAGGAAGGCACAGCTAATTTTTGTAGGCTACCAAGAAAGACCAGAAAATCTCCTTCCCTTTCAATCTTTATGAAAATATAATTCCTAACTCTTTTTGCACATTTGAAAATATAATATAACAAGAAGGTACAAGTCTGTAATCACCTTTGAGCTCCAATTCGATTTAAGCCATGTCCTCTTAACCACTTGCTTATAATGCATTAGTTATTTTTAACTAAGAGTTTGTGAATGTTTCCTTTTCTTTTCTCTGCAAATTCTCCCAAATCTCTGGGTTGTTGACCTGTAGCAGGTCAAAATGACTTGTCTGTAATAGCATTTTTAAATTTGAACATGTTAATCCCATACAGTGGCATCATACTAGTTTCTGCTTTGCTTTTACTGAAGATAAGTCTTTTAAGAAGAGCTAGGAGCTCAGCATGAATTTCATGACCTGCATTTCTTAGTAGCTACTTTGCCTTTAGCATCTTTTCTGCTTGATGAGTCGATAAAAGCTTGTCCTAGTTTCTTGAACCTATTTTGTAGCAATAATTCAGCCTGCATTTTTTTCTTTCCTTATTGTTTCCTTGAAGTTTAAAACTATTTAGTGCATTCATGTTTGCTTTCCTGTAGTTCTGAATTCCAGGGAGAAATTTCTTCCCTGTCTCTTCATAGGTCCTCTACAGAGCCAGAAATGTCTATTAATTTTCTCCTTACAATTAGGAATTATAATCTGATAAACTGATGTCTCCACATATCATCTCTTGAAGGTGTTTTTCTGATGCTTTGATCCTGATGTTTCTGTTCCGTAATTATGCTGTAGGAATGACTTTAACATCTCATACCTTCCCTATGCTTTGATCAATTTCATATCACTTGCTTACATTCAGGATTGTGGAGTTGTCTTCTGAGTTGGTTGTTTACTGGGATGATTATTTGTTTAGGTTAACATTTTCATAAATATGATAATTTAAGAATCTGAGAACCCATCCAAATTGAAAGCTGACATTTTTTTCTTTCCTTAACATTCAATAAGGTCACAGAATTACATCTGTCTTTAACAATTCTTGTGTATTTCCACTTTTCTTAAGACCCATGTTGTGTATATTTCACTAAAAAATTTCCTCTGCTACTGAAGTGTGGCCAAAATCTGTTATCATGTACTTTATGGTAGAAGAGAAATCTAAAAGTAGCGGTTCCTTCTTAGGAAAACAGATACTATCTGGAAGGTCATCACTTCTCCTTGAAAAATATTTTGAAGATTTTCAAGTCATTTATTGTTTGTTTTCAAGTTATAATACATGCCTATTATAGAAAATTTTGAGAATATATAAAAGTATAAAGAAGAAAAATACAAACAGTCAATAATTCCAACACCAGTAAGGCTACCTGTTATTTCTGTGCAACCTCAAATTTTCTTGAAGCCTTAGTTTAGCAACCTCCCACCCTTTTCTTCCTCAATAGACTGTTCAAGACATTAAGAGTGGAAGACTGACTTTAAATATAAGGGTCCTTAGGATTTTTATGGAAGGGATAGAGCTGTAGGAAAAAGCTACTAATTGCTCCAGAGATGACATCTTGTTCTTATTTAGCTTTCTTTGAGTCATTAACAGTCGGGCGCCACTGGTGCTGAAACTTATCATTATTATAACCGCAAATGGGTTAATGCCCAAACAAAGCTATATTCTTGGGGCTGGTTCCCAGCTCCACCACACAGAGCCCAACAGCAGCACCCTCCAAGTCCAGGATAACGCTCCACAAATAAGAGGATGTCAAATGTTCAGCCTGGACTTGAAATTCTCTTCTTTTATCTGGGAGCTTCCAGTTACTGGCAGGGCAGAGCAAAAGGAAAAATAAATAAATAAAAAACCAAGCCAACAAACCCTAAAAAAAGAGGCTGTGTGGTTTAGCGGTCAGACCACTAGCCTGGAGGCTGTGATAGCGGCGATCCGGTTCTGGCTCTCCCACTGATTGGCTGGATGATGCTAGGTAAGTCATTTTCCTGCCGTGTTCCTCAGTTTCCCTGCTTAAAAAAAGGGGGAAGGACCTTAGGAAGTTTTTATGAGGACAAATAGCTTTGGGTTGATTGGAAATAAAATTGTAAAGCTTAATAATTACTATCCTATTACTTTATTAATAGTATAGTAATAAGTCACAGGTGTGATAGTTATGAAACTTCTATACCCTCAAGCTGCACTGGGGGGGAGGGGCAAGAGGCAAGCATTGAGGAAGAAAGCAAAGAATTTTATCAACTTTTCAGGACTTGACATTCAATACCAAATTAGTAAATTCATTACCTCGAGATCATAAATGCAGGTCCTAGTTTGGCTCTGATCCTTACCACATCCAAACTCAGAGTGACTCACAGGAGCCTAGAAATAAGACACATATACAATTTTAAGGGAAAGGGAGAATTAGGAGGTTTGAAGCTCCTGCGGGAGAAGGCTAAGAATAGACCGCTGACACAAAGAGAGGAAGGTCCTCTTTCCCTCTCCTCCCAGTGAAGGTGGTCCACTGGCTTCATGGATATTTCTCCCATAGCATGATTTTTCTTTCTTTCTTTCCTACCTTCCTTCCATATCTTTTTCTTCCTTCTTTCCTTTGTCTCTTTCTCATTCTTTCTTTTTCACAAAAATGTCACATTGTGGGAACTAACTGAAAAGGTGAGGATAGAGTGGCTTTTTCTACCAGGTTTCAACTGTGACAGGAACCATAGACCACTAACCTGTTGTTGGGAGTACAGAGAAGCAGAAAGAAATACCTGGATATCTGGGAAGCCCAAACCAATGAATGCTTTCCCTTCTTAAAAAAGAAGTGAGCAATTATGCATATAAAGAAAAAAAAATCCAGTAGTGTCCTAGTTTGTGCACCCCATCCTCTCAAGAAGTGAAGTGTCTTGGTAGGAAAAAAGAAAGACATTTGGGAAGGGTATCAAATAATAAGGGATAGGAGTAGAAATTGGGAGTAAAGATAAATAGGAATTTGAGAGGAAATATTAATGAACCAGAGGATTTAATAAGCACCTTCTGCGTGCCCAGCCTGGACATAGGCAGAAAAGACACATTCCTCACCTCAAGGAGTAGCTAAAATATACACCTGTGAAAGCACTTGGTAGCAATTTAAGACAGTAAATAACAAAGAGATAAACATGGACCATGGGACATGAAGTGTTTATGGGAATTTAAGGGTGGGAGCTATTACTGCGAGTTCGGATAACAGCTGTATAAAGCAGAAAGAGTAGTTATGAAATTCAGAAATTGCGGATGCGGACGGCTGGCAATAATTTTTCGACACCGGAAAATGTGATAGAATCAAGAGAACTCCCACATCAAATTCCTCTAAAACCAACTCGTCAAGAATGGGAGTCCTAAGAAAACTCCACCGCCACGAAGCGACTGCCCCCGGAACCGGTGTGGCCCGCTTGGGGTTGCGATACGGAGACTGTTGGCGTGACACCCCCTCCACCTCCCGCCTCCTCCCGACGCGTGGTTGCCATGGCAACGGAGAGAGCCGGCGACCTGGGTTCCGGAAGCCGGAGAGCTAGAGCTTTGGAAGCTACCGTGGTCAAAGGATGCTGAGTCCGGAGCGCCTAGCCCTACCGGACTACGAGTATCTGGGTAGGAGCTTCCTTCAGCTTCTCAGAAGGAAGGAAGTGTAGACAATTAGGCCAGGGTCTGGGGAGGAGGAGGGGCGGGGCCTGAGTGGGGCCCGGAGCCGGGTGGAGTAGGGAGGGGCCGGGAGGGGGCGCGTTCCAGGGCCTGGGCGTGCGGGGGAAACCGCATCTAGGGGTCAACGAACGTCTGAAGTGTACGGGCTCAGACAATGTGGATGGTGTTCAAAGGCGGACAGGTTGGAGTTGAGAATTTGGGGGCCCTTTTGGGATATTATAGATAATGCTGGTGGTGCGGTAACCTTGGAACCTGAAGTGCCAAATCAGTCATTCTGGGAACAATCCTTCTCGCGTTACAGCGGCCAGTGACATGTTTGAGCATTTCTTATACGTTAGGCACTGTGCTAAGCATTTCACATGCATTTTAACGTAATCTTCACAACAGCCCTGGGAGGAAATACGGCGTTTTTCTTCCATTTTGCAGACGGAGAAACTGAGGCTGAAGAGGTAGCTTGGATAAATAAGGCCACACAGTTAGGAAATGGCAGGGCTGGAATCAGAGCCTCCTTTGCCCGCTACGGAGCTTGAGCTCTTGACCACTAAGGCAGTAGCTGTAGTACTTTGTCGAGCACCTTCGATGTGTAAGGCCTTTGCTGGGTGAAAAGAGGATGTATGTTTGTATGTATGTGAGTGCGTATATGCATGTATATATGCACACACACTTAAAAAATGATAGGCTTTATTTCTTAGAGCAATTCTAAGTTTACATAATATTAAGCAGATATCATAGAGTGGTTCCCGTAGACTCTTTCTCCCTTACTCAGTTTCCCTTATTATTAATATCTGACGTTAGTGTAGTACATCTGTTATAATTGATGAACCTAACCAAAGTCCATGCTTTACAGTAGGGCTCATTCTTTGTGTTGTATAGTTCCGTGGGTTTTGACTAATGTATGTCACGTATCTGCTGTTAGAGTATTGTGCAGAGTAGTTTCACTGCCCTAAACATCCTCTGTGCTCTACCTAGTCATCCTTCCTCCTGGTACCCCCCCCCCCCAACCCTTGGCATCCACTGATCTTATTTTACTGTCTCTGAAGCTTTATAGAATGTCACGTACTTGGAGTTCTACAGTATGTAACCTTTTAGATTGGCTTCTTTCATTTCGCAGTATGCGTTTCAGGCCCTCCATGTGTTTTCTTGACTCGAGAGCTCATTTCTTTTTATCACTGAATAATATTCAATCATAGAGATGTACTATACAATTTTTTAATTAAAAGCGTTCTAGTATAAAATTCTAAATTGGTAATAACGGAAATTGGGTTAAAAATACAAAGAAGTTTATAGTGAAGTCTCTTCCCACCTCCCTTCCCCCAACTGACAATTTTCCTCCCCCCCCCCCCCCCCCCCCCCCCCCCCCCCCCCCCCCCCCGCACCATAGCAGTAACCATATTACTGGCTTCCTATGCATCTTTCCAGATTAGTTTATTATGTACATAAGGGGGAATATAGTGCATGCTTTTTTTCATTTAATGGATCTTAGAGTAAGATGTCAATCTTAGCTTCCTTCTTTTTAAAAAATTAAAAAAAAAATTTTTAATTTATTTTTGAGAGACAGAGAGACAGAATACGAGCAGGGGAGGAGCAGAGAGAGAGGGAGACACAGAATCCAAAGTAGGCTCCAGGCTCTGAGCTGTCAACATAGAGCCCGATGTGAGGCTCTAACTCATGAACTGTGAGATGACCTGAGCCAAAGTCTGGTGCTTAACCGACTGAGCCACTCACGGGTCCCAAATGCTTCCTTCTTTAAAAAAATTTTTTTTGGGGGTGCCTGAGTGGCTCAGTTGGTTAAGCATTTGACTTCACTTAGGCCATGATCTCGGTCTGTGAGTTTGAGCCCTGTGTCAGCCTCTGTGCTGACAGCTCAGAGCCTGGAGTCTGCTTTGGATTTTGTCTGTCTCTCCCCCACTCTCACTTTGTCTCTCAGAAATGAATAAATGTTAATTTTTAAATTTTAATTAAAAAAATTTTAGCTACATAGTATTTAGATAATTTAACCAATTCTCTATTGGTAGACAAGTTATTTTTAGCCTTTTGCTATCACTAAAAATACCCCACTGAATAACCTGCAATTTTGTTCCTTGACTAGTATATCTGCAAAGATAAATTCCATAAAGTAGAATTGGTGGATCAGGAGTATATACACTTTATTTTATTATTTATTTAGTTTTTTGGGGGGGTATATGCATTTTAAATATTGATAGATATTACCAAATTGCCCTTCATAGAGGCTGTACCATTTTACATTGCTGCCAGCAATATAAGAATGCGTGTTTTGCCATGGTCTTTCCAACAAAATATATCAGATTTTTTAATGTTTTCAACCTGTTAAGTGGCAAATAATCTCAGGATAGATTTAGTGTGCATTTATTTTATGCAATCGAGCATCTTTTTACCAAGTTTAAATTTGGTTTTTGAAAAGTATGCATGTATTATATATAGAGAGAAGTGTATGTATATGTGTATGTATATGTATATATATATGGAGAGAGAGAGAAAAAGGGTAATTGACCACATCCATTAATTAGTCAAATGGCCATAGTTTTATCACAGATGATTTTGTATCAAATGAATAATAATATCAATGTTTAGCAATGCCTAGACTTTTGCAAAGGATTTTATGTATTTTATCTTATTTATCCAGTATTCAATGGATCTATAAAATATTTGAAAAGCCTAGTCTATTGTTCAGTCCCTTGAGTGTTTGCTGTTTAAATAATATACCTCACATATTTAATATACTAGTGCTTTAGTGAATAGAAGTTGGTGATCCCTCCATAGTGACTTTTTCAGGGAGACTAATTCAGTGGCAGTGCTGACAATGAATCTGCAAACAGAATTAAAGTCTTAAGTTGATTAAAAAAGCTTCACTCTTCGTCTATCCACCTAATGTTTGAACCTGGGGCAAGTGCTCCTTCAGGCCCTGTTGCATATTCAAGTGTCTTAACTCCTTGTCCCATTCAACATCTAGACATTCATATTGCCCTAAACAGAGTCATACTACTTACTGGCTTCCTCATGGTTCATCAAACCATACAACTCTGCTGAGATGCATTGGTTTTCGGTGAGAACAACCTCTATCCGTTATCATTTGGTCTCTTTTACATATAGGCTGTTTTGAAGTATTCACCCTCAATTTAATGGCCACTGAAAACCACTTTTTTTTTTTTTTAAGGTTGATTTATTTTGAGAGAGAGAGAGGAGGAGATCACACATGCAAGTGTGTGAGCAGGGGAGGGAAAGAGAGAGAGAATCCCAAGTAGGCTGTGCACTGTCAGCAAATAGAGCCTGAAGCAGGGCTCTATCTCATGAAATCTTATGGTTTGTGATGACCTGAGCTGAAATCAAGAGTCAGACACTTAACCGACTGAGCCACTGAGGTGCCCTGAAAACCACTCTTTATAGATTAGTAAAATATTTCCTAGTTTGAAAAATTTAAACCAGAGTTTTGTCTTTTTGTTTTCTTTCTTTTATAAAGACACGTGCATAGGCCTAGAGAAGAAAATACATATAGAGAAAAGAAAATTGCAGGGACAGGAATACTCTAGCTATTCAGTGGAACAGAAAAGCCAAAGCTGAGCACTGCTTGGTACATGTGTCCGGAGATCTCTTTGAATATTATGATAGAAATTACAGTGATGTCTATTCAATGAATATCTACAGATTTGCCTTTCTGTCTGCTATCCAGGCCTTATATT